GATAAGTACCTCGCTCCTGGCTTCGGATCGGCATAGCTCCGGCCAGAGCAACAATTTGGGGAGTGAACCAATGGAAGGAAGACATTTCTGTCTCTCTCTCTCTCACCATCTAACTCTATCTGTCAAATAAAAAAATCATAACCATACTAAAAATACTATATATGGGGTAGGCATTGTGGCACAGTGGGTTAAGCTGCCACTTGGGATGCCTGCATCCCCTATTAAAGGGGACAGTTCAAGTACAGGATACTCTGCTTCCATTCCAGCTTCCTGCCACTGTGCATGAGAGGCAGCAAATGATGGTTCAAGTACTTGATTTCATTCACATGGGAGACCCAGACAGGATTCTTTTTTTTTTTTTTACAGGCAGAGTGGATAGAGAGAGACACAGAGAGAAAGGTCGTCCTTTTCCGTTGGTTCACCCCACAATGGCCACTGCGGCCAGTGCACCGCAACGATCCAAAGCCAAGAGCCAGATGCTTCTCCTGGTCTCCCATGCAGGTGCAGGGCCCAAGCACTTGGGCCATCCTCCACTGCCTTCCCGGGCCACAGCAGAGAGCTAGACAGGAAGAGGAGCAACTGGGACAGAATCCGGCACCCTGACCGGGACTAGAACCCAGTGTGCTGGCGCTGCAGGAGGAGGATTAGCCTATTGAGCCACAGCACCGGCTATCAGGCAGGATTCTTGGCTCCTGGCTTCAGCCTGGTCCAGCCCTGGCTGTTGTGAGTTTTTGGCGATATGAACCATTGATGGTAGACCCCTCTCTCCCTCTCTCTCTCTTTAACTCTACCTTTCAAATAAATAAGTAAATCTTTTATTAAATTACCTTTAGAATATGTATCTAAGTTGATTATGACACCTAAATAAACCTTGTGTTTAGACTTGGTGCCATCCCCAAGATATCACATCATGTATATGAAAAATTCCAAAATCTAAAACACTTTGGTCCCAAGCATAAGGGATACTCAAACTCCATAACCAAATTAAAGGAAATAATTTCTGAATTCTGTAAAGAAATTAAGTCTGAGTCCCTAGTTTCTGGACATTTAAAGTTTCTAACTACAAAACTGATTTATTTCTTAAAAAGCCTTCAAAGTCATTATCTTTTCCTATAATCTTTCATTATAATACAGAATGAAGCTAAGAAAACATATCAACGTACAAATTACTAGTCAAAGAGCCTCGGGTGATCACTGAGGTCAATAAATAAGAGTGTTAATTGTTAAAGTAACAACAGGAGTCACTGTGCAGTTACTCCCCATGCAGGACCTCTGCCCTCAATGAGTTGTACTATGAGAACTAACTGCAAAACTTGTTCTCAAATAGTACTTTTTACATTGTGTGTGTGTGTGTGTGTGTGCAAACTGTTGAAATCTTTACTTAGTATAGAGTTGGTCTTCTGTATATAAAATTAATTAAAAATTAATCTTAAAGAAGAATGGGATGGGAGAGGGAGTAGGAAGTAAGATGGGAGTTGGGGAGGGAGGGTGGGTATGGGGTGGGGGGAAATCACTATATTCCTAAAGTTGTACCTATGAAAATTGTATTCATTAAATAAAAGCTTTAAAAAACAAAAAATAAATTACTTGCCAAACAACTACAGCAATTAAATATTCAAAAGTCTGTTCAATAAAATTTATGACTAGTACTCAAGAGTGAAAGTCATAAATAATGACAACTCTTTTATGTAACCTGAATATTTTAAGATAGCATTAAACTTTCTGGAAAAGTATCCCTGCATTTATAACTGTTCTTTTAGATGAGATTAATTTACTTTCTTTTTTCTTTTTGCTAAATTGCTCATTTAGTTGCTTTAAAAAAAGACATCAGATATAAGATTTTTGCATAATTGACCATCTGTTTCAATGTAGTGATCACAATAAACAGCACCCGCCTGCTTGCCTGTCTCCCTGCCTGGTAACAAAACATAAGTGAGTCACAGCCAACATCAGCATCTTCCTTCAGGGACCACTAAATAGTTGAAATCCACAACTGTCAGTGTCATTTTTTGAGGCAATAATTATTTTTGTGGTTGAGCAAAAAAATTATACAAAAACAAGTTTTTCCAGGCTTGTATTTGGAATTTGAATGCAGTTACCAAGAATCTCCTCACCTCTGTGGAACAGACTTGGAACCAGGAAGTCTGAATTCAAACTCTGACTCTGTAGGACCAGGATTGTGGCCCAAGTGAGTTAAGCTGCCTGCAACACAGGCATCCATCCCATATAAGCACTGGTTAGAGTCTTGACTACTCCACTTCCGATCCAGCTCCCTGCTAATTCACCTGGGAAAGCAATGGAAGATGGCCCAACTGCTTGGAACCCTACCACCCACATAGGAGACCCAGATGGAGTTCCAGGCTCCCAGCTTGTTGCAGCTACTGGGGAGTGAACCAATGGATGGAAGATCTGTGTGTGTGTGAGTGTGTGAGTGTGTGTGTGTGTGTGTGTGTCTCCTCTGTCACTCTGCCTTTCAAATAAATAAATAACATCTTTTATAAAGAAAAATTCTGGGTCTGCTGCATTCCAGTCCAGTGACTGGGCAAGCTGCTTACTTTCTTAGAGTCTCCCAAAGCTCAACGGTAAAACAGGAAGAATTTGATGAGAAGAGTGGCCACACTGTGAACTGACACGTCTAGCACAGTTGTGGGAACACTATGGGTTCCCAGTAAGTTTTCCTGAACCTACTCCATCTGATATCAAAATCCCTTCATTTTTCTCCTCAGTAAAGAATATGTAAGTCTTCATGTAGTGCTATTTATACCCTTATAACTACCTCTAATGTATTTATGAACTTTGATAGGACACATCAAAATACCTGATATTTATGATCCTGAAATTTTCTCTTGCCGCTGGAAATTGAAAATATTGAACATGGCTGCCAAGCTATTACTAAGAGACTGGAAAATTTGGGAAGCAATATAGCTTCATGGAATATGGAGTAAGAAGAAAACTAAAACCTTAAATCCAGGCTCTGCCACTTAACTTTGTATAATTTTGAAAAAGTCATAAATCTCAAAGCCTGAGATTCTTCTCTAGGAAGCAAGGATGTTAATAAGGCTACTTCTTAAGGATTAAGAGGATTGAATAAAATCATGTATTGTGAGCTCAGAATACTATCATGTAATAGACATATGACAATGACTGGAGTCCCTGGCTATAGGAGAGACATTTAAGTTGTCAGTTAAGTATGCTAAAACACTCAGTAGTTTAGAAACCAGCTATGTGTTCTTGGCCAAGGCCCAACCACTTTGCACCTCCGTCCCTCATTTAACTTTTAGGTATTAATAAGATTAGCTGCAATTTATTAAGCACTGAACCATATACCATGCACTCTGATAGGCTTCTCTTTTTTTTTTTTTTTTTTTTTTATTTTATTTTTTGACAGGCAGAGTGGACAGTGAGAGAGAGAGACAGAGAGAAAGGTCTTCCTTTTTGCCGTTGGTTCACCCTCCAATGGCCGCCGCGGCCGGCGCGCTGCGGCCGGCGCACCGCGCTGATCCGATGGCAGGAGCCAGGAGCCAGGTGCTTTTCCTGGTCTCCCATGGGGTGCAGGGCCCAAGCACCTGGGCCATCCTCCACTGCACTCCCGGGCCACAGCAGAGCTGGCCTGGAAGAGGGGCAACCGGGACAGAATCTGGCGCCCCAACCGGGACTAGAACCCGGTGTGCCGGCGCCGCTAGGCGGAGGATTAGCCTAGTGAGCCGCGGCGCCGGCCCTCTGATAGGCTTCTATATGGACTCTGGTCTTTACAACATCCTCTTATCTCCATTTTATAGGTGGATGAAACTGAGAGAAGTTCCACTTGACCACACAGCTAGTAAATGTAGAACTTGGCTCCACATCCAAGGGTAATGCAGTTAACCTGCCATTGACTTTCCCTAGAGAGGATCAAAGGAAACTATTCAGTGAAACAGCTTTTTGAATTGAAAAATCCTATACGAATGTAAAGTAGTATTAATATCCAAGGCAGTATACATGATTCACAAAATGGATTTGTGACTCTCCTCCTAGTGCCTGGGAACCCTGAAAGAGCAATGAGTTACACTTGAGGCTCTCTTTCATCAAGTCTTAAAATTTGGCCTTGACCTCAATTTCACCTGGGGTGAGGGGAGGGGGCCTGACAAACAACTAATTAAAAACAGATATCCAGATGCCAGTCTATGCCAGTCAAAGGTGGCTCTCTCCACTCTGGGAGTCCAGAGCAACGAAATCCAGCAACTTTTCCTACAAATACGGATGAAACATTTTCTTGGGCTAACTTCTCATACCTGCCTTTTCAGTTCACTTGGGTGAGGATAAATGGTCACATAAACTAGTGCTTCTGAGATCAAACTTCTATCAAACTCCAGTTCCAGGCAGGTACACAATCCAATTTAAGCAAATGTCAATTCCTTTCACACGGATATGATGTAAAAGTTGGAGGTTACCTCACGAAAATTGTGTGAGGTAATCCTATATGGTTAATTCTCCAAGTTATTCACCCTTGGGACAACAGCCCAGCTTTTTAAATTGGGAAACACCACCAAGGTACAACCAGAGGGTTTCTTAGCGACGACGTGGGAAGCGACAGAGGAGAGGCAAAGTGGGCCTCGGTCCAGTGTCCCCAGGAAGGCCCTTCCAATCCCCGCCCGGACAGCTGGGGACATGCCCAGCGTCTGCAGAAGAAACCGGAGACTGAAGTCCAGATGACACGGAGGTGTTCATTTGTCCAGCAGTTTTTTACTCTGCGAAGGTGTCAGACCCTGGACGGTGGGCACCTGCAGCAAACTCATTTGCATGGGGAAGAAAGGGCGAGTGACCCCTGCTTCCCAGAGGCCAGAGCCACGAGCATGGGGCAAAGCGAAGGGACTCACACCGTCCCTTCGCCTCAAGACCCACTCTCTGCCCCTGGGACGCTCCCGGCGGGTCCAGTACTGCAACCGAGCCCCGGCCGATTTCAAACAGTGCCGCAGGGAGGCAGGAAGCAGGCGGGCGAGGCTGAGCACCTGGCCTCTTACCTCGGACGGCGAGATGTCAAACACGTCGGCGATCTTAGTGTAGAGCTCCCGGATGCTGGAGAAATTCTCCACCCGGCCCGTGGCGCTGCCGTGCGCCAGCTGCGCGTGGAAGACCAGCTTGCGAGCCGGCGCTGGGGGGCCCGGGAGGCTCCCGACGCCCGCGCCGGCCACCTCGCCCTCCACCAGCGGGGCGGTCTCCTTGGACTTGGGCTTCTTCTTTCCCCGCAGCCCCAGGGGCATCTTGCCTGGCTGAGGGCGTGGGCCCACCTGCGCAGCCCGCCGCCGCCTCCTGGTCCGAGCCGCGGACTTTGAGCTCTGGGCCCCGGGGCTCCGCACAGGTAAAATCCGTCGCGGGGCCAATGGCAACGGCGCTTCCGCCTGGAGGCGCCGGGTCGGGCCCTCTCCTCCCCCCGGAGGAGCAGACGTAGGAAGGTGAGCGGCCGCGCGCCCTCCGTGGAGGTGGCTTTGGAGAGAAGAAACTTATGCTCGGTCCTTCACACCCCGCTCAGCTCCTGGCTTATCCCTGCTCCCTGTTTAAAAAAAAAAAAAAAAGACTCGAACTCTATTTCCGTGAAGTCCTCTGGACGCCGAAGCTGAGGAACCCTAAGACAAAAACGTCGGCCCCTCGGTGCTTTTCACAAATCTGCAGCAGGCACTCACACTGTCGGCCACACACCTTGGGGAACAGGGTTTTAAGTACAGGAGGAGTCAACCTTCTTTCCTTTGCCTCCTCTGCGCTTTACACCCGGCAGGACCGAGGGGGAAGGGAAGCCACAGATCCTGGAGAGTGGCGCCGCGCGCACCTTTCGGGAATCCTCTACTTTCTCCTGGGCGGCTGTCTCTCCAGCCTCGTTCAGCACTCCCCCAGGTCACTGGCCACACCTCCTCCGGCTGCAGAGAACACTCCAAGAGCAGTGCAAGCTCCCTGGATTCCCCACCCCTGACCTAACTCCACCCCTTCCTTTCAAGTTGCAAGGAGTTCTTTTCGTTTGACCCTTGATCTGAACAACTCTCGAAGATCTTATTTGCTTGTTTGAGTGGCAGAGAAAGAGACACAGAGAGAGCCCCCCCATCTGCTTGTTCAGGTCCACAAATGTCCCCAGGGAACCGAATCACTGTCTCCAACGTGGGTGTCAGAAACCGAATCATTTGAGCCAACACCTGCTGCCTCCGAGTCCACATTAGCGAGCCCAGGAATTGAACCCAGGTTCTCCCATCTGGACTGTGAGCACCCTAATTGGCGGCTTAAGGACTGGGACGTGCACCTGCTCCGAGGATCGCTGTTTTAAAGCTACCTGTTGACTCTCCTTTCCCTTCCCACCTGGTACCACTGAAGGACACACTGTCACTTTTTTTTATTAGGTCCTCCATTTTTGCAGTCCCCTCTGGCTACATATTTCATAGCAAAGCGACAGTCTTTATATTAGCTGCATTTCCTCACTTCCTCTTTGCATTTAGACCTGTGATTACACTTTGCTCCCCACTCCCATCCCCTCCCCACAATCCACTGAAATTGCACAGTGCTATTGTCCGGACACCTTAATTACCACATACAATGGACTCTTCTCAGTCTTTATGTTGCTAGATCTTTAAGCGCATCTGATTGCATGGACTATTTCATTCTTGTATTTTCCTCCTTTGGGCATCCTTACTTTCCCCAACTCCTTACGAACATCTTCTATCCCTTTACCTTGGCCATCTCTTTTTATCCTATATGTTCTTCCTGAATGACTACAACCAGTACTCACTGAGCTTCTCAGATGTTGACTACCACCAAATCAGTATCTCCAGCTCAGTCCACCAGGAACAGAATGCACTGCGGAAAACTCAATTGAGATTGCACAAAACTGACTTCATTACTTCTTCTGAATGTGTCTTTTCTCTTTTTTTTTTTCACTCCCAGCTGGAGTAAATAGGACCTCCAAGTACTTAGTTGCTGAAACCAGACACCACTGAGTCAGCATACTACACTTTCTCCTTTTCCCTCACCTCTCACATCAATTCAATCTTTTTTTTTTTTTTTTGACAGGCAGAGTGGACAGTGAGAGAGAGAGACAGAGAGAGAAAGGTCTTCCTTTTGCCGTTGGTTCACCCTCCAATGGCCGCCGCTGCAGCCGGCGCACCACGCTGATCCGATGGCAGGAGCCAGGATCCAGGTGCTTTTTCCTGGTCTCCCATGGGGTGCAGGGCCCAAGCACCTGGGCCATCCTCCACTGCACTCCCTGGCCATAGCAGAGAGCTGGCCTGGAAGAGGGGCAACCGGGACAGAATCCGGCGCCCCAACCGGGACTAGAACCCGGTGTGCCGGAGCCGCAAGGTGGAGGATTAGCCTATTGAGCCACGGCGCCGGCTCTCACATCAATTCAATCTTGAAAAATCTACATTGCTCCAAGTAATAAAATCAAGTATAATTCCAAGAGAAGGCATTGGAGAAGAATCAAACTGAGTTTGTAAGGCTCTGCATTTGAGCTGGATGGCACAAATATGTATGCTGTATTAAGGTCACTATGTTCTTAAGCACTTCAAGCTGAAGATGTCACCTTTGTCTAGACGTCTGCTCATGTTTGATTGGCACAGTGACTAATGGGTTGGTTCATTAACTTGTGAAACCTTTTCTAAAACTTTTTTTTTTTTTTTTTTTTTTTTTTTTACAGAGTGGACAGTGAGAGAGAGACAGAGAGAAAGGTCTTCCTCTACGATTGGTTCACCCTCCAACGGCTGCTGCGGCCGGCACACCGTGCCGATCCGAAGCCAGGAGCCAGGTGCTTCTCCTGGTCTCCCATGCGGATGCAGAGCCCAAGCACTTGGGCCATCCTCCACTGCCTTCCTGGGCCACAGCAGAGAGTTGGACTGGAAGAGGAGCAACCGGGACAGAATCCAGCGCCCCAACCAGGACTAGAACCTAGTGTGCCGGCACCAAAGGCGGAGGATTAGCCTAGTGAGCCACGGTGCCGGCCTTTTAAAAGTTTTTAAACAGAGAAAATCTATGTTTCTCAAGGTTAGCAGATGTACTAGGAGAAGTGAGGAGGCTCTTTGAACTCTTTAAGATAACATTAAAATGTTTTGTTTCATGTTTCTGTGACATAAAAATATTTTCTAGGGGCAAGCATTTGGCCCAGCAGTTAAGATGCCAGCTAGGTCATCATGTCCCACACAGGAGTGCCTGAGTCCTTGTCCTGGCCTGGGGTCCTGCTTCCAGCTTCCTGCTAATGCAGACCTTCAGGGGCAGTGGTAATGAATCAAGTAATTGGATCCCTATCACCTACACGGGAGACCCTGCTTAAGTTTTTGGCTCCCAGTGTTGCCCTCATCTCCCCACGCCTGCTAGTGAAGGTATTTGGAAGAGTAAACCAATGGGTGAGAGCTATATGTCTGTCTGTCTCTGTCTCTCTGCCTAACATATAAATTACATGTCACATATATATTATATATTCTGGTTCATGTGAATGATTCTTTGAAAATGAGATGGTGCCACAGGATCTCCGGGCTTCACTTTGTCCTTGTGGCTATGGTCACTATAGCAACAAATAGTAGTTTAACTTTGTCTTGGACTAAGAAAACCTAATAAGTAAATGATGCATTCCCAACAAGTGAAAGCAATGACTTCAAAATATGCTTACAAGTAAAGAGCTCACAGAGCTTTTACTAAAGAAGAAAGTAGGAAGAGAAATGAGTCATACAGTACATGGCAGGTATATCATCAACATCTAGGACCATATGAAGGAACACAGGAACGCAGGAAATTTTGCTTTGAGCTACATCCAATAAAATATCAAATCAAGAAGGCAAAAGTAGTGCAGAGGGTGGGAAAGCGGGGTTCTAATCTTTCAAATTGGTTTAATTTGCAAGTCCTGTTTTTCCTTTCCCAGAAAGTGAAAGTTTCCCTCAAGACCTGTATCACATTCATCTTTGCTATAAAGTCTCACTTAACCAGTCTGTTTAATGGGATGCGATCACAGGACAATACAATGGTATACTCAAATTAAGGTATGTAGTTATGGTTTAATAACACAACTTGAGTAGGTAGTGGTCAGGGTATCATAAACAACAAATATGAGGGATCTTCAAAAAATTCCATGGAGGGGCCAGTGCTGTGGCGTAGTAGGCTAAGCCTGGAGTGCCTGCATCCTATAGGGACACCAATTCATGTCCTGGCTACTCCTCTTCCAATTCAGCTCTCTGCCATAGCCTGGGAAAGCACAGAAGATGGCCCAAGTGCTTGGGCCCCTGCACCTGTGTGGGAGACCCGGAGGAAGCTCCTGGCTCCTGGCTTCAGATCATCCCAGCTCCAACCGTGGCGCACATATGGTGAGTGAACCAGCGGATGGAAGACCTTTCTCTCTGTCTATAACTCTGCTTCTCAAATAAATAAATAAAATCTTTTTTAAATTTTCATGGAAAATGCAAATTATGAAAAAATATGTAACAAACGATTAATATCCAGAATATATCAGCAACTCTGAAAACTCGACAACAACCCCCAAAAAAATCAATCCAGTTAAGAAATGGGCAAGGAACCTGAATAGACAGTTCTCAAAAGAGGAAGTACAGAGGCCAGTGCTGTGACCCAGCAAGTTAACGCCCTGGCCTGAAGTGCCAGCAGCCCATATGGGCACTGGTTAGAGACCTGGCTGCTCCACTTCCGATCCAGCTCTCTGCTGTGGCCTGGGAAAGCAGTAGAAGATGGCCCAAGTCCTTGGGCCCCTGCACCTGCATGGGAGACCTGGAAGAAGCTCCTCGCTCCTGGCTTCAGATCGGTGCAGGTCCGACCATTGCAGCCAGTTGGGGAGTGAACCATCGGATGGAAGACCATTCTCTCTCTCTCTCTCTCTGCCTCTCCTCTCTCTGTGTAACTCTGACTTTCAAATAAATAAATAAATAATCTTTTTAAAAAAAGTCCAAATACCCAATAAATACATGAAAAATGCTTGACATCACTAGCCTTCAGGGAAATGCAAATCAAAATCACAATGAGATGTCATCTCACCCCTGTCAGAATGGCTACCCTCCAAAAGACAGAGAGTAACCCATGCTGGTGAGGATATGGAGATGAACTCTCTTTTACACTGTTGGTGGGACTGTAAATTAGTGCAGCCACTATGGAAAACATTAGGGAGGCTTCCTTAAAAACTAGAAGCTAGAAGTAGACCAGTAATCCCAGTAACTGGTATATACCTAAACACATGAACTCATTGTATCAAAAAGGTACCTGCACTACCATGTTTATAGCTGCATTATTTAAAATATCTAAAATATGGAATCAACTAAGGTCCATTAACAGTTGGATGAATAGAGAAATTGTGGACTGTTATTCCTCTATGTAAAAAAGAATGAAATTCTATCATTTGCAGCAAAATGGTTGGAACTAGAGGACATCATGTCAAGTGAAATAAGCCAGACACGGAAAGACATGTGAGAGCTGAAATTTGAAAAAAAAAATGCTATGTGTATCAGTTTTGCTGCAAAATCAGTGTTTTTTCAAACTTTGTTTTAAATATTTGTCCAATAAATTGAAAGGAATTATATACTACTATAATATTAATGATTTTGTGACTTTTTAAAATTTACTTATGATTGAAGTTTAACATCTTTTCATTTGATTTTTTTAAGACTTATTTGAAAGGCAGAGTTACACAGAGGCAGAGGGAGAGAGAGAGGGAGAGAGAGAGAGGTCTTCTATCTGCTGGTTCACTCCCCAGATGGCCTCAATGGCCAAAGCTGCGCCAATCCAAAGCCAGGAGCCAGGAGCTTCTTCCGGGTCTCCCACGTGGGTGCAGGGACCCAAGGACTTGGGCCATCTTCTACTGCTATCCCAGGCCACAGCAGAGTGCTGGATCGGAAGAAGAGCAGCCAGGACTAGAACCAGTGCC